GGTAGGCTCGCGTGGATCGACTTGTCGGACGAATCGAGGATTGATAACCGAGTTAACACGAGAATTATTAGGGTAATCAGAGGGATTGAGATATCCGATTGGGAATTTTCGATCCGCTATACTATTCCATTTCTTTCCCATATTTTCTCGAGACCAGAGAACTTTGGATTAATCATAGTCTTTCCTTGCCGTACAAGAGTCAGGTAGTTAGCCCAACTGCCATAAATGGACCAGTCCGTATCGTTCAGACGATAATTGCATAAAATGAATAAATATTTGGAACGGAAATAAAAATTTCCAAGTCACGAGGTCTCGCAGGAACAGCGATAAGATATGCTAATGCGATGATTAGCTAAACATACCATGCGCGAATGCTAATTATTGCAGCGGACAGATAAAAAACAACCGCGTGTTTTTAGCGAATACAAATCGCAGAGGTCAACTACGAGTTATTTCGAATTTTCTGTTATTTTTAGCGCTGCGAGCGCGAAGAAATGGCGGAGCTATCGGAGCCATTGGAATTCTAGCAAAGGAATGAACTTTCTCCGAAATTTCGAGCGCGACAAAGGAGCCGTCGATCTCGGAATAAAAAAGAGACGGTCCTGCATGCGTTAAAGATTCGTGGCAGCGACGATGACAAAAATTTCGACGCTTTCTACCGGGCGAACAGGTGGCCGTGCGCGTGTTCCGCCTCGAATCTTATCGGCGCTCGTAGAAAACCGGGCGGAAGGCGACCCGGTAACCCAGTTTCTCGTCGAGCTACGAAAAATCGTTTCTTCGTATACGTTGCTCGTCGTCCCTCTTCGATTTTTCTCTCTCCGCGTCGCTGGCTCCCCGAGCTGAATGCAAACGCGCCTCTAACATCGCCGATTCGCTCGCCTGCTTTCACTTCGATCAGCGGGCACGGTTCTCTCCGAAATTTCGTCTCGCCGAATCGTCAAACGATCCCATCATCATCGGAGAAAGTTGCGATTTTGGAAGCGAAACATTCCACTCTACTCGTCTCCGTTCGTCGCCATTTTTCCTCCGCCTCGATCCGCCAACTCTTTTCGGTCCCTCGCCTATCTCGATGGGCGATTTTATCGATTTCTTCCTCCACGGAGAAACCGATAACGGATAAACGGAATTCGACGACGAAAAGGAAGAGGGATAACGAAAATAAGAAAAATCGAGGGAAACCAGTCTGACCAGATACCGACGCGAACTACTTAGAGCCGTAAAAACGGCATTATCCGCGAACTGTATCCAAAAGCGCGATTGCTCGACGAGGAGAAAAAACGACGCGCAGCTCGTGGAAACCTTACAGGTTCCCGCAGGTTGCCTTTAATCGGCGATAAAACAGGATTAAAGAGAGCCTGCACTCGCGGGGATTGAAACTTCAAAGTCAGTCGGCGCGCGTTCTCCGGGGCGTGCCGCGTTCCCCAGTCTCACGGTGGAACACGTTTTTAACGGACGACTGACCTATATAGCGAATAAACGAATAAATTTCGCGAACGGAGGAAGGTGAAGAAAAAAGAAGGAAAAGGAGATGGGAAAGGAAAAAGAATGAGAGAAAAAGACACGGGAGCCGGGTATTCCCGTGGACGTGTATCCGCGTCGACCTGGCTCCGTGGTTTAGCTACGTGCACAGCGGGGACGTTGGTATTGGGCACCTGTTACAGTGGAAGGAATACCGTTAGGACGTCGTGTCAGCAGCAGGTACCAGCTTACGGGTACACGCATACATCTTCCCCGGGCTCCGTCCAGGCTGTCGCAGCCGGGCAAAAATCGAGTCTCTTCGACACCAGGGCCCGATGTCCAGACGCTGCTACCGGAATCGTTACACGCGTCAGAGTCTGCCAGTACCTGTTCGGCTAATTCGATGTCTGTCGTCTGATTAGGGTTATCGCTCGCGTATCTGCGTGGCTGGGATGGTTGACGCATCGCTGACTCTTGCGCAGAGGTCACAGGGGCTCCCTGTGAGAGGCTCAGGACTGGATGAGAGCTGGGTGGCTAAGGAGGTTAACTGGCAATTGGGTTACTATGGTCTGGCTGAGAGATGGCATCTATGATGGGATCTATGGCTTTTGGACGAAGCTATTGCTGAAAATCCGAGTTTTCGTATTTTTGGTATTATCATTTACGACGAGATCTTGGTTACTGGGGAGGTTAATCGCGTTACTTGATCTAATTGGTTAGTGACTTTTGGATCTAGTTACCGTGCAAGGTTTGGATTTGAATATTTTTCGGTATCTACATCTGACGGATGTATTTAGTATTGGATAAGATCTTAATGTTTAAGGAGGTTAATTGGGTTTGCGTTGCTATTACTCGCGATGAGAGATTGCGATCCGTGGAATGTGGTTTTTGAGTCGAGCATCGCGGAAGATTGAGAACTGTTACTTTTAGAATCGTGATATCTCACGGACATTATTTCGAAGTGGACGAGACCTTGGTGATTGAGGAGGTTAATTGCACAATGGACTCGAATGTCTCAAATTGGGTTACCATAGTCTTCGGTAAGCGGTGTTTGAAACAGGTTACTTTGGAATGTCCCGATTAGAAATTCCAAGTCGTTAATTATTTTTCTCCAATTTGCATGCGCTGGAGATCGGTTGGAGTAGGATGGAATAAATCCTGGACATTATGAGTGAAAATCTGTCCCAGCTTTGCGTAGCTGTTTCTTTGTCCAACGCAATTAAATTGCCAATGGACCGAGAATCATTCGGCTGATTTACGACCTTAACGCGAGCGTACATCAGCTGCTTAGATAATTACGCGATTTTTCATGCGGCAGCAATGTTTTCTAGCCGAACGTGCCACTGACCGACTAAAGCCACTTTTCACCCGTGTCAGTTTTTATGGGCACTCGCTATTAATCTCCCCAGGATTTTCGGCTCGATTTAATCTTTTTACCAACATCGCAACGACCTTAATAGATGGCTACGCCGTGCCTCTTAATACTTCCTGTGCGAGCACGAAATCTCTGTGAATTATGGTAAAAAAGTCTTCATTCCAGTTCTAGGGAAATTATCCTAAAGTGGAATCCGAGATCGAGATTACTAGGTGCGAAACTTCAGCCAAACGCGAGTGCAAGCTTTGGAATCCTGGCTAAAATAACTCCATCTTGAACGTAGTAACATTCACTTCTACCTATTTACAACGATAAATGACTTTTTGGACGCAGCATCCTCTGTACCGTCATCCTGGATGTTCCTGGCTGACCTGGAACTCTGTGATCGAGTAATCCTTCGATTCCCAATCCTCGCCATCGAAACTGGTATATCCAAGCATATCTTCACTCGACGATTCTCCAAATTTAATTCTTCCAAAGTGTCCGTGAAACCTATCTGCCTCTGACAAAGTAGGAAGCTGGCGACTGACGAGATCAAAGCCTGGCTGGCAAAATTGCTCGGTTAGTTATATCATTGGTCTTTTACGGGCCACGAAGGAACCCGTTTCGCAACAGGTGTCTCGGGGACATGGCTCGATCACGATTTCCACGTTCGTATCTCCATATAAGCGGCGCTTCTGGCGCGCTCGCGATCTGGCACACTTTGCTCACGATCCGCGCTCTCTGTATCGCCGCCTCTCGCCGATGCATCGCGTGAAAATATCCCGTGCTTGCCAGATTCCGGCCTCCGATTAGGACGATTAATTTATCGCCGCGTTCAGTAGCTGTTTCACCCTCGACGTGTTACTCCGTCCCCTAGGCACTTTTATCTTGGGCTCCGGAGATGATCTGGTTGGACCGGAGCTGGTTCACAGGGGGATCTTTGGCTCTCTGCGATCCTCTGCTCCTTTCCTTCAAGCGGTCTCGGATACCAGCTATTTCCTTGATCGCATGATTTCAATCGTTTCTTAACACGTTCACCGCTATGGCAGACACTGGTGACCGTCGCTGATCTCTACGTTCAAATGCCTGTTGGTTAGCTGTGATCTACATAGTGCCAACGCGAGATAGTTAAATGGATCGGTCATCGCGTTCTTTGTGACAATTGATGATATAATTCGATCGGATATCTCGTTTATTCAACGCTTTGTATTGGAGAGCTGACTCTGTCACTATGTCAATTTACATAACATTTCTCTTCGTGTTGTCATGAAACGTGTCATCCGTTAAATTAGATGGTGATTTATTAAAAGATTTGGTATCGAATATGTAATTTGAGGATCACGAGTAGAACGCATAGTAGGCCTTGTTTTCATGGACTTATGCATAAATAAAGGTATGTTTAAATATCGAATTTAGTTTTCGTTTCTTCTTATTCGGAATCATACGATTGCGATGTAAAACTTAGTCCGGTGTTGGAACGATCGAGAAAAGTCAATCAAGCGGATGCAAAGAAGGAGCAGCGATCCCTTCTCAGAAGCCAAGGCTCGGCGATGATATTAAGAAGAATCTCAGGCTCTTTGCCTTTTAACTTTTACCCAGCGCGGCATTCCCGTCTGCTCGCCGCGATTGCGCAAAGCGGCAGCTCTCGAAAGGCTGATTTCCATGAAGGACCGTCGCGTCCCCTGCTAATAACCGTCATCGCGTATCCCGCTGACGACGATAACGACGAGGACGATCGACGCGTATAGCAGCCAGGCGGTTGATGAATTCGCGTGCAAATCGACCTCGTGGGAGGTCACACACAACAGCGGAATAAAGTTCCGCATTCTCGGCCCACAGCCCGAGGCAGCTGTTAGCCTGCCTCCTCTTTCGGCCTCTCCTCCCCGTGCCGGGTTGCCTCGTGTCTTTTCCAGCTTCTTTTCAAACCTTCCTGACCTCCTGGTGGAGAACCGAGACGGAGACATCGACGTCTTATTCTTCTTTCTCCTCTTCTTCCTTTTCTCCGCGACAGGTTGCCTGATAAAAGAGAAATTCCAGCTCTTACCGAGGACTCTCTCGATTCTTCTCCACCGTTGACGTTTAAACCTTACCTGATCCATTGTTCGTGTAGCTTTCTATTTTGCGGAACGCAGGTCTCCGTGGCTGACTGATTAATTCTCGAAATGACGTTCGTGGTTTCTTCCAGACGACGACTGGGGAGCGCCTGCAGAGGAGAACGACTATCTGCCGGACACGGAGACGACTGCAACCAGCCTGACACTGCCTAGACTACCCAGAAGTCCCGAGAGACTGCCCAGCCAGGTGAACAGGGGTGTTTCGCCTAGCTGCAACAGAAGTCGCAGGGCACCGGAGTTCAGACAGCGGTCGCCTAGCCCTCAGTATCAGCCCAGGATGAATCCTGGCGAGGTGACCAGTCCTAGAGAGAGATTCCAGGATGCCAAGGAGATGTTCCGAGCTATGGAGAGAGAGGCCATCGCCAGGCCTGTCCTTTCCAGGCAGAGAGAAGTTGAAAGTCATCCTGCTCACAGGTACGGTCCTACCTGTTCTCCTGATACCTGCTGTTTCTTTGCACGAAATTAAAACTCTGTACGTGTTACGATGCATCCTACCGAGGTCTGCCCACGAGAATAGGGAAAGGAAAGATTCGGGAATGAGGAAGGTGTAGGAAAAGAAGGACGTTCTGTCAGCTTCGCGTACCTTGGAATTTCAACGACCGTTGCGAAGCGACCTAGACACCGTAAACGGCTAGACGTCTCTCTCGTTGAAAACGACGTGGTTAGAAAGCCTCGAAATTGAAAAAGGCGCGATATAGCAGTGGCAAAAAGTAAAAAGTCAAGGTGGATAGATCGAGATCGATCGGAAACAGCTTTCAGTACTGCTATTATAGTAAACGACGATCTTAACGAGTTCGACGTATTCGTTTTCTAATCCAGAGAATCTGCGCCGGTTCCATTGTAAGAGAGGACCGATTCGACCGGCCGCTTCTCATTTTCTCCCGAGCCGACCAGAAAGACTAGTTTTAAAAGGCCACGCGGCTGCCTTTGCTTTTTCCCCCGCTGGCATTCGTTTTGGGCCAGCAATCACCGGTGTCAATCTCAAGTAAAAGCTGTCCGACCAGCTGGCGAGCGGCGAGAGATCACATAGTAGCTCGAAAAGTCCACGATTGTTTCGTAGATACCTACGTTTCGTTCATTCAACATCTCATTCAGAATGCGAGATCCGAACTGGGGACCTGTCTCGATGCTCCAGCTAGACTTTCCACTGACTTTGCCGCCGCGGATCTTTTCTCGTCGATCTAGAACTATTTAGAACTCTATTTCCTAGTTGCCACAGGACGTTCAGAGACATTGACAAACTCCCCTGTCAATTTATTTCGCGCGAAACGGTTGCCAGAAGTGGTACGTGGCAAGTGGAACAAATTCGGAAGTGGCACGTCGTCGTGCACGTTTTAAACTTGTCTAGAAAATGCCAAAAGACATCTCCGGTTTCGCGCTTGTCAAAGAGACCTGTCACTTTAGAGGCAGTGAAGCCAAGTAACATTCCTCCTGATAATGATAAAGTGATAAATACATATGCACGACGAGATCTAATCGTCATTGACCAATTTACGATGATACCTTTTCTGTGTGACAGAGTGGAGTCGGCCAGGCAGACTCACGAGGACCAGCCGACCCGTCAGCATCCGGCGAGCAACAGTTCAACGACTGGCCACGAACACCTGATCAGACGGAATCATTCGGAGGTATCGGAACGGGAGAACGATATTTCTTACAGGGCCCGACCACGACCGCGAACCCATCATTATGCGATGGAACGCCCACCGGAGCAAGAGGTCTCGAGGCCCCGGCCGAGAAGCTTCTACGAAAACCCAACGGTTGGAAGAGACTTCCGAGATCAAAGGAACGTCGCTGATCCGAGAGAAGTAAGGGTCGTTGATTCCACGCCTTCTCATCTTCGACCTCCTCGAGCTTTTTGCCACGAGATCGCAGGACTCCATCTTTTCGCGGAGCAACTCTTCGGACCTGGACAGGGGTCTTTGAAGGATCCAGCGTTCTAGCTGGGTCATTAGTTTCACTTCGGAGGGATGCTTGAGGATTCGATTCTTCGGAAGTTTCACGAGCATCGTCTGACTTTCTTGTTTGGGTTTGCACTTTCTACGACGGTGGTTAATCTTACATGGAAATGCTAATTGGCTGTCATGCGGATAAAGAATCGGCAGGATGCCTGCTCCTGTCTGCTCCTGCTACTGTCTTGTTTGCCTGCCTATTACCAGCGTTGCAGAGTGCAAACAAAAACGTACTACTATGTGGACTTTCTATTATCGCGTTGGAAATGTCACAGGAGAGCTAGTCACTGTCACTTCTTTGATCGACGAGTTAATCCTTTTTCAATAGAGAAACGTAGATATACTACTCGATACTACTGTGAGCTCTGCTGTGTAACTACGACCATAACTTCTTGTATCAACATCACATTATCTATTTCCACATCATGCGATTCTATACTATCTTCATCTCGTAGAATCTTCAACTTTGTTCTCACACTTAGTTAGCACCAGAACTATCGACCCACGTTATGACATATATATATAGATGATAATAATTAATGTGTCAGGAAAATAATTAGGTATATATACCTACTTATGTCTCCATTTCAAAGAAAGGTAATATTAACAGATACAAAGGCTACAACAACGAAGAATGTCTGAAACATGTCAGTTTGACAGGTCGATAGTTCTGGTGCTAAACTTTTGGTCTTTCCACGATTCTCAAGCTACTGCTTTATCAAATTATCGTGTTTCTCTTCTGTCCACAGGCTAGAGATTTCCGTGACCGCGCGCACGTGCGGGAGATACGCGAGAAAGTGCGTGCCAGGGCAACCACGTACCAAGAACTCTCCGAACACGAGAGATATCCAGGTCTTGACCGCGACAGCGCCAGGCCGCCTCTGGAAATCGTGCCGACACCAGGTCGATACCGACACAGCTACGCGGAGCCACCTAGACTCGGTTTGGCAGCCCTTCATCCGTACTGAGTCGACGAGCTCGTTGTTAACTAATAAATTATTTAATTAATCGACCGTATCGTTATCGTACCGTTTGCGTCTTCAATCGGCTGTCAAGCGACCTCGGCGATATTTCTCGATGTTAAGTTAAGCGGATCAATGAGGTGAAGCAAATGGGAACCTGATCACGATGATTTGTCTTGTCGTAGAGAATTCCTTTTACCGATTGTAGAATAGTTTAGGATTCTTCAGATCCCATGTTCCTCTATTTAATCCAAGCCTCGAACCCCGTCTACTTCATCTAAATCTCCTTCCTTCTCGCAGTTGCTGCTGTGATAACGTTCACTGCCATATTGTACCCCGTTTGACGAAGCTCAATGGAAAGAGAAAAAGAAATAAAACAGCGTTCTCCAGAGACTGTATCGCGATGAGATAGCCAAGCTTCTTCGTTCCAAAGGTTCCGTTTGCCTCGCTGTCATGGATCGTCGTAGATCGTCGTAGATCGTCGTAGATCCAGAACTCACGGGTCCTTGATGTTGACAGTTCTGATCAGTTCAGGATCAACGATCCAGCATTTAATATTCTCTCGTATTTGCGTTCGTGGACCGATCATCCTCGATTCGAGGGGTCGCCTGTCAAACTTTGACCGCGACTTCCGTGCACTATATTGTTAACCGTGCCGGATGTCAGACTAACGATAACGATAGGAACAAGTAACATGCAGTAACATTGACAGTAACAGTAACAATAATAACGGTTAATAACAATAAAGCCTGTCGTTATTTTTCTTCATCCCCTCTGTGAGTCTCCTAGATCAGTCTGCGGGTTGTCTTTGGGCTGTCTGATACTTTGTAATGGGTATTTGTTAAATTAGCGTGATTCAGAACGGTTTCTCTTGCGCTCTCCTTTCTTTTTGCGGTTTAGAGAAAAATAAGTATTTAAATGTAATTTATACGCAGCGCGGAGAGGGGGGTTTGTTTAATTCATGGCACGACGCACTCGGGAGAAAAGTTTTCAAATATATGTGGCAAGTAAATCTCAGACGACCGTGAAATAAATGTTTCATGGAGATGGACTCGTGTCTCTGGGAGTGCATCACGCGAGCTGCGCCTGGATCTTTGTTTCCCTTTGTCTCCCTGTCGTATTTTGTTACGTTCCCCTTGGTATTACTTTCGAGTAAGACGACCAATTATTTCATTCGCGACACTGTTGCAATTTTTCGTGCCGTTCCACCCGCGCGCTCTTATTCATAATTTTTAACGAGACTTAAAATAACTATTAATTAGAAAGTGCTCCCTGGTTCACGTGATTATTTTAGAAAAGGAAACTTGATCGTATTTTCCAAGTTGGGACAATCTCAGTCGCGATCCAGGGAGTTATGGAAAGCGGGCTCGGAAAATTCACGCATAATTTTCTTCGCATCTCAATTTTTGCTTCGAGACTACGAGTACACGTTGTATTACATTTTCTTAAATATAGGAATTCAATCTGAACAATTGTTTAACGATACAAATTAAAGTAAAAAATTCTACGAATTCTAAGATAAATTGTATTAAATTTTAAAAATAATTTTAGAATAAAACGAATTATTAAATATACAATAAACGTGTAATAAACAATACACATATGGAGTAAAATAAATTAATAAATATAAATTTCTAAAAAGTATGTAAACAGGAAACGAAAAATTCAAAATATTTCTGACCTCTAGAAGCATCCTCCATCGCATCCTCCATCCTTTTTACTCTGGAATTGCGTTAAATTCTAAAAATAATCTGATTAAGATAATGTATTCGAAAGAATCCAGTGGGACGAGTTGCTGCAAGATTCGCTTCTAATGTTATTCTTAATTTATCTCGCATACTGATTGACGTTTTCTCCCTGTAGATCGCATGTCAATTCATTAGCACGGTTTTGAAAGGACAGAAAAATTTCTCTGATAAGCACACGTCCACTGGCCGGATCACGTACGGTGGCTCGTTAAATTGCTTTCATGGTTAACGGAGCAGGAAGTGGCCGGTTTGCATTGTTTCAGTGTCTATAGTTGTTGCACGAATAACAAATGAATAGAAAGTCTTTCGTGCCAGAGGGACGAATAAATCTCGAGCTGGTCGTTCCGTTTTTTCCCCGACTGGATGTCTGAATTTCCGTCTGATCGAGGAAGTTACCATCGGGGTACCATTTCTCTTTCGACGATCCAAGCAATCCGCATCTCCCCAATTCGTACAATTCTTCATCGACAATTAGTATCAATAACTCCCAACTTCTTTTCGCTGAAAGACTTTTCCATTACTCAGATCTCCATGGAACCATAACACGCGTAATCACCGCGATCCAAAGTAACCACCGAGTTGCGTGGAGCAGTCGCGCTCACCGCAGAAGCCAGCTCCATTTACCCCCGATTTCTAATGCGTCTCGGTTAGCCCGTGGTTTTCCTCGTTTCTCGATGGAATTTCGCAAGCTCTGGCCGACTCGTTACGTAAAACACACCGCAGACCCGAAGCATCGGTGCATAAGGAAAAACCACCAAGGCTTTACCGAGGTACCATTTCTCTCTCTTCCAGCTTGCCCAAATACTCCACGTGAAAGAACAAAAAGAAAACCGAACACTCCGGTTCTAAAAGCTATTCCAGATCCTGCCATATTGACACCGAACACGTCTTCTATTTCGGAATCCAAGAATCCAGCCCCGGTCCAAGTGCCATTTGTCTATTTCCGTCTCTGGCTGACTACGATCGTCGTGGATGAAAAGTAAAAATAAGAATGTAGAGGCACGTTGTTGGAAAAGGTATTTCGAAGGTATCCGCGGTGATGGAGGCCACAAATCACGCAGAACGTCGTCCGATCTGCGGACCAGACCGTTATAGCAGGGACGTGGGGAACGGTACCGTGGAGTAGGTCCGGTTGTCGTGGTTGGGTAATGAAATTCGCGCGTCTAATGGAATTCAGAAATTTGATTACCGTTGCCAGCGGCCACGGTGACGCATTCTGAACGGAGTGACACCTTGGCCTTGGAGGACGAGCGAGGACAACGCGGTTCCGATGGAATGCGATGAAAGAAACGAAACCTTGATGCCGGAGGAGCTTGAGGGAAAAGTGACGTGCCGTCTGCACGGGAATGTTGGCCACAGGAAACCGTTGATTTTGCCCTGAAATCGCGAGGAGAAAGTCCTCCGCTTTTTGGAGAATGCATGTCCATTTTGAAACATAGACGATTGACAGTTTTTGACACCGAGTAGACTTCGGAGGAGATTATTTTCGCGTAAATGTCACATGGACGGAACGAGGTAGCTTTTGGTAGCCTGTGGAGAGAGCAAACTCGAGGAAAGGTTGATCGGATGTACCCAGTTTCTCACTGCTCGAGGGTACTTTGACGTTTAAAGTTGCAACACGTACGGCGCGTCGCAGGCCGTGAGAGAAACAGATTTACGGATTAAAGAAGTAACCTGACGGAGGTTGTGTCGGTGGACACGTACATGGAATAAAGTGGATCCCCTTCTCCCATAAAGAGACCTGGAGCTACGAACCTGCTCGCTTCTCTCGATGGCAGTGACCTGTTATAGGGGGTCTCTCTCACGGGACCCCAGTGGCTTTATGCTCACGTGCGATCTTGCCTCTCTCGGTTAAATGCCAGCCTTTGTGCTAGCTAGGAAATTCGTCTGTCGATGTTATTGTTCGCCGTTGCGCAAACATGGCCGCGAGAAAATTGGCGAGCAACTGGGCGAAGTCGTGGATTCCTTTCGGTCGAGTCATTGGTCCTGTAGCTTCTACTTTTCCAGACGTTTTCATTTCGGCTCGAATTTCTTTTCCTCCCAGGCACCTCGACGATCTGGCAAGTATATACAAGCATCATACAAATCCGGGATATAAACAAGCGATTAAGAGTCCCCTTAACAGTCCCCTGCTAAACACTAGGTAGACACTGCGAATTCCTCGGATTCCTATGCAAAAGAGTCTTCTACACCGGGGATTGGTGTCTTTAATCCTGGACAGCTCTAACAGACCTTCCATTTACGGAACGAGATTGGTGCTCCCTCGAAATGGCAGCGTGGCTCTTCGTCACCCTTGCCTCTGGGACCCCGCAGAATTTCTGCGGAGCGACGAATCCGGGGCAGGTATAAAGGTTGACCGCTCTGGGATTCGGGGCAAAATCGTGGAAGGAGCACGGTTCGATGCACAGGCCCCCGATGAGGTCGTAGAAAGAATTCGAATGGTATTCCGTGAAGCAGTCGTGCTCGAGGTGCACGTCATTCCACGCTGCTTTCGCATGAGTTTCATGCGTCGGCCCCTGCCATCAATAGTCATGTCGATGTATTGCAAGCCACGACCCGGTGGCTATCTAAAGGCACACGGCTACGTGACGGAAAAGCGGATATTCCGTGTCGGAAGTTCCCGTTGCTCCCGATAAGCGTACGAGGAAGAATTTTTCTAGTTTCTCCTGCGGCATTCGCGCCCGGTTATGAATATAATCCTGGTTTCTTGGCGACTGTGCAGTGTAGTCGGCGAGGCAATTAAAACGCGGCTGTTAATTAACGGAAGAAAGTCGAAGGGGAATTTATTGTTTCTCACGGATCTTCGAACAGACTTCGAACCGTTTGGAAGCAGAGAGAAGGACAGCTGAACGCGTTGTCTCTTGAAAGACGACCAAGAATCTCTGCGTCGTACAACCCTGTACATATTAACGAAGCGTTAATTAGCGAGAGGAATGTTCGGTGAATAGACACCCGTTAGATTGGCAGCAGCCAGTCTTAAGTCGGCCGCATTAGTAAAAGTGAACCGCTAGCAGCACACCTCATCTCTCGCCTTCCGTTATTCTAATCGGCCGGAGATTTCAATGCGCGCATGAGCCATCAGCGTTGTGCAGCTATGGCCGAACGAGGCTCCCCGACCGTGTTGTATAAAAAGCCTCTTCTTCGCGCGTATATGGAAAATTCGCCGATAATCCTTCGTTTCCAGATTACCAGATTTTTTAAAATATTAAACTATTATTATAATCATGCTATAACATTTGATATCGATCCCTCGAATTTTTTAATTCATTTTAGAACTTCGTGTAGAAATATAAAATTGATAATTAATTCTACATTGAGATTATCCAATCTTTTTAGATGTTAAATTACTATTCTAATCGTGTAGAAAATCTCGATAAACATTTTTCGAATCTTTTAGTTCGGCTTGGAATTTCATATAAATATATAAAATTATTAATTAGTCGGTCAATGTGGAGTATCCAATTTTTTAAATATTAAATTATTATTTTTTTCGTCCAAGTTTCGAATATTTTTAAATTCTTCGAATTCCTTCGCCTCAGTTTCGAATTTTGTAGAAATATATAAAATTGTTGAATTATGCTCCGAATTTCTTGCTTCGGTTTGGAACTTTATATAAATATATAAAATTGTTAATTAGTTGGTCGATATGGGTTATCCAATTTTTCAAATATTAAATTATTATTTTAACCGTTCAAGTTTCGATGTAAATTATTCCAATTCTTTCGTCTTAGTTTCGAATTTTGTATCGATATATAAAATTGTTGAATTATTCTCCGAATTTCTTGCCTCGGTTTGGAACTTATATAGTCCTTATACAGACATATAAAATTAACAATTAATCAAAAATAGATAAAGATTTTATCAAAAAATTTTTCGATATCAAATTTGCAACTTTATCACAGAGAAGCATTTCTCGGATGTATCTGATTCACTTTTGAAACTGATATAAATACACAAAATCACTCATTCGATGCTCGGTGCACTCGAGCATCCAGTATGCATTCTTCGAATTTTTGGGTTCACTTTTATAACTGTATACAAATAACCGATTACTAATCGCTCAACGAGGATTACCTAATTTCTCAAGCGTCGAATTTGCGTTTTAATTACAGAGAGGTTTCCAAGCTGCATTCTCCGAATATTTTTCATTCACTTTTGCAACTTTATATCGTACAAACACGCAAAATCATTCCGTTAATCGACCAATAAGGATTATCGAATTTTTCGAACGTTCAATTACCATTTCGATCATGCGCGAGCATTCGAAGTGCATTCTTCGGTACTTTTTGGTTCATTTTTGTAAGTTCACGCTGCTTGCCCCGATATTCGCTTCGCGATAAGGGAGAAAGTCTCGGAATATCTTTTTCAGACTCAGAAGCATTCCGATATAATCGTACTTATTAGCAACAACGATGTAGCGTTTCTTAGTCGGACTTCTCAACCTAGACATTAACCGAATCATCTTAATAATTAACCTGCTCATTTGCCGAGCCGATGAACACCAGAAAACGAGTTGTGGAATATATTTGAAGTATCAAAAGTTGAAGATCAATCTAATATCGTGGTATTCGAATTTCGGAAAGTTTAAAGGGCCCAGTTAATCATATTGACCTACGAACGAAACGATGAACCCTTTGCACTCGACGATTTTTTGACTAAAAAGGAATAGGAGTTCAAAATTTTCTGCTATTAAGTTGACGATACATTTTTGAGTAGTAAATCGC